GCGGGGGGGTAAAGGCTGTGACTGCTGTTCAGAGCTCTGGCTTTGGCAGGAGCCCCTTCCAGTGACACGTGGACGTGACAAGAACTGGCCACCGAAGGGGGTCCCAGAGTGCGAGCTCCTGGGAGAGGGCTGCCAGGACTGGGGGTCTGCAGGAGGGGAAGCGCTGGCCCGGCTACTAGGCCATCAGGGAACTGCGATTGGCGGACTATCCCGCCTCCTCGACGGCAGCTCCTTTGCCGGAGCACCCTGCACCCTGCCTACACCTGCGGTCCTCAAGGCCATAGGCTCCCTGCGGTCCGCAAGGGACCAGCCCCAGCGCCACCACCCAGCGCCCTCACCTCTGCCAGGGGCGCTCCCGCCGGGCCTGCTAGGTCCACAAGTCCCCAGAGTTGCCTTGTCCCGGACGGACGCACCTCACAAGGCCAGAAAAGTCAGCCAAAACTTTTGTTGTTGTTGTTCAGGAAAAAATCCAGACTCTATTTAAAGTGTTGCAGGTAGACATTTTTCCTGCCATGAAGATTCATTCTCCATGGAGGGTACAATAGAGGATCTTTAACCACAGGGTGATCCAGTACATATGAGGTAGTTGCATGTCCCCCACTGAAATGAGCAGAATGAAGTGACAGTACATCCTGATATTCTCAGCTGCAGAGAAGAGAGAGGGAGAACATAGTCAGTAGGAGATGGAGGGGAGTAGAAGACCTGTAGCTGCCATAGAAATAGCAGGTTAACTATTGTGGGTGTTTTTACAATACAGAGAAGATGTCCTCCAGGGAAAGTTCCTATTAGGGAATATGCACACCAATAATTCCATTATTGGTGGATACAAAGTACACCATGATCAGAATATCACTTGGATGTTGTAGGTTTAAAATTCAAAACTAAAACTCTGAATTTACTGACAGAAATTTAGCAGAATACATAATCCTGGGATATAAACATTTCTTAAGAGAACATTAAAGGCCTTAATAATCAAGGCTGTGAAGAACTGACTGAGCCTTGAGGTAAAAATTGGCTCTGTGTGAACCTCTCCCTTGCAGGAGGGGTTGACAATCCCTAGTACCATTGTACCCTTCGTTGCTACAAGGAAATGAAGGTCACTTGTCTGTTGCACAAACACATTTAAAGGATCTCTGTTAGCATCTCCTTCATCCTTCTTATATGAATCAGTCTTCTAAGTTTGAGGCTTATCAGATTTTGTATGTTTCAAAGCTTCTGGACAAACTGTCCCACTTTTATATTTGCTTGCAAAACACAAGTCAATGAGTATGAAGAAATTATCCTCGGAAAAAGAAATCTAAAGGGTAATGTTATTTGAAGCATACTAGTTCCATCTAGGTATTGTTTCTATACTTGTGGGTCCTACAGAAACCTCTAGAATGGAAATTTGGCCTGCATGGAAAGATTTTTCCAAATTATGAATAAATAGCAAACTCCTATCACTGTTTCCTTGGGTTGCCGAAGAGTAAACATGTATATGGCTGCAGCCTTGCTCACAGGTTTGCTTCCCTACAAGAGCAGAATTCCTTGCCTGAGTTATCTCAGTTCCCAAAGTGTGGGACACAACATAGGTTTTCTATGCAATACCAGGTGCCTACTAACATATAATTTTAGAACAAAGTTATGCACCCAGCCTGATGACTATTACTCTGTGGTATTCATATGGTGAACATGTTAATGATTTGAGTTTCATGACTTTAACTGGAGAAAAAAAGAGTTATAATTTTTACTTTCACACGCACAAAAAGAATAGGCCTCAGAATGTGTATAAAATAAACTTTAGAGTTTTCTAAATCCTCATCCCTCAAGGAAAACTAACACATGCTTCATGGGCTGATGAGCAATCTGCAGACATTATTCTGACTTTTTCTTGATCCCAAGTCTTTGCCATTTTCCTCCAGTGCTGCTGACTTCAATCACTAGAAGGAGTGGGGAGGAAGGGCAAGGGTTAGGGCTTTTCAAGATCATCACTGAATCTAGGCATTGGCGTCATTTAGACAGTCATCATGTTTGTTTGCATGTTGGAGGGCTGTGATTTCTACAAACTACCCACTTGGAGCAGCTGTGAAATTTGGTTTTCGGAGATGGAGCCCTTGGGCTTTCAGATTTGGGTTTTCATTTTTTTGTTGTTGTTTCAGTTTTTTTCATCAACTGAGGAACTGTTTGTGTTTATGCTTTGTTGAATTAGACAATAACTTTTCAGAGTTCCCAATATTAGTTGTTATCTGAAACAAGGAATAAGAAAAAAAAAAAAAAACAAGAATCTTCTATCAGTTCTTGCTGGTACCTAACTGGGGCTGACGAGGGGCTAGGTGTGACAGATGCCGGGTGCACAAGGAGTGCAGTTGAGTGGAGAAGCTGTGGGGGTGAACTACCAGGGACAGGAGCAGCTGCCTGTGTGCAGGACACAGGGTCCCATCACCTCAGGTTAATCGCCCTGCTCAAAGCTGCTGCAGGTGTGTCAGTCACACCTCCACCCACCTCCTCAGCCTCAGTGTACTCCCCATTGTATTCCTCTAGAGGAAAATTAAGATCTTTATACCACCCAGGAAGAGATTTGCTTAGCCTCAAACATGCACATTCAGAAACAGCTTGTTATAGGAAAGAGAGAATAATTTGTAGGGAAACCAGCCCCCACTCCTAAATCCAATAGGAGGGTAGTGCCAAGGGAAGAGTCCTGTAATGTGAAAGCCAGCAGGGTCCTTAGACACCATGCAAGTAAGTTTCATCTTTAGCCATGAGAAGACAGTGGTATCAAGATGTTGAAATTAGTCAAAGCCACATGAGCTGCAGGTGGAAAACCTGGCACTAAAGTCCAGGCCTTAACACTTTTTCACTGTGTCAGAGTTGAAAGGCTTCAATCTGAAGGAAGCCAGCAGGCTCCAGAGGCTGTTGGGTGACCTTGGCTGGGACAGAAAGACTCAGGTAAATGTTCTTCTAAAGAGATAAGGTGGGGTACAGAGAAGGACTCATCACAGAGAATAAAAAACCCTAGCAAATAAAGAGCCATCTTGGGCTAATCCAGTAGAGACCAACATTCCACAAACTTAATTCTATACCTGGATGCTCCTTATCAGCATTTCCAAAAATATCTTCAGTATCACAAAGTTCTCAGATGAAAAGTGAAAAAGTACTTATTTCTCATTCTTAGGTGCTCTTTATCATCTGATCTCTTCCACATTTCTGTTCAAAAAAGCCTGACAGTTGGGCTGGGGCTGTGGCTCAGTGGTGAGGCACTCGCCTTGCATATGTGAAGCACTGGGTTCGACCCTCAGCAGCACATACAAATAAATAAAGATCCTGTGTGTTCATCTACAACTAAAAAAAAAAAAAAAAAAGTTTGAAAGTGCTGGGTGTGGTGGTGCACGCCTGTAATCCCAGCAGCTGAGAGGCTGAGGCAGGAGGATCCTGACTAAGCCAGCTTCAGCAAAAAGTGAGGCACTAAGCAATTCAGTGAGACCCAGTCTCTAAATAAAATACAAAATAGGGCTGGGGAGATGACCCAGTGGTTGAATTCCCCTGAGTTCAATCCCTGGTACCCGCTCCCCCCGCCAAAAAAAAAAAAAAAAAAAAAAGTTTAAAAGACTCTGCTATATGTAGCTGGATTATAGGTCTAATCCACCTGCCTCTTTTTTAAAATTTTTTTTGCATGCTACAAAAACAAAACCACTAGAAAGGAAGGCAAATTCCATCAATGGATTTTCTGTGAAGCTAGCTGCATGTTTAGGAGACATCCAGTAGCTCTATGGTCCACATCGGTAGCCACGTGTTATAATCACGTGGGAGTTTTTAAGACTACTTAATGCCCTGAACCCACTTAAATTCTCTAGGTATAAAGCCCGGGCATTGGGTTAGTTGAAAACTCACCAGGTTATTATGACAGCACTATTTAACGACATTAAGTAGACATTAAGATAGAAGGGATACTAATAGAGAACAGGAAGGGGATCCAGAAGGAGAGAGGAGAGCGGACAACGGGGACAAACTAGGAAATAAATTCTATCAGATTATGCTATTTCCACGTGCCGCAGTCCTGCTGCAACAAAATAACCGGGGGGTGACCAACAACTTGTGTACGTTGATACAGCAGGAGTGGGAGCCGTTTATTGCAGGACAGGAGCAGTATTTATACATTCCACACAGCTTATCTAATTAGCATAAACTAGATACATCAGTCAACCAATAAGGAATCTCCACACTTAATGGCTCGCTGGTGTTACTTCACAAACCACTCCCTCTGGCATTTTGCCAGGCGCCATCCAGACTTGTTTACAGACTCTAACACCACGTATAATCTACCACAACGAATCTTGATTTTTATATAATTATAATGTAATAACAATAATAGAAAAGAGATTAGTAAATTAGAGAAAGCAGACAGGGGCAGGAAAAGGGGGAGGGAAAGGGAAGGTGAAGGGAAATGAGGTAGATCAAACTATGTCATGTGCACGTGCAAATAACGGCATGATGAATCCCACTGTTATGGATAATTAAAATACACCAGGGCTTTTGGCAGCTCTGGCCTCCCCTCTCTCTTTTGGGTGTGGCAAGAGAGAGGATCATTCTAAGAGTGACCTTACACTGTGAGCTTGACCCCTTACCTCTGGAAATAGAATTGAGGCTCGCAGGGAGGCTCTTATACTCCTCCCCGAGGCCACTGCTTTCACTACCCGGCTGGGCAATGGGACCAGGGTCGGCCTGTGGAGGCTGGAGGAGCGTCCTGTTCCAGGGAATGATCACACTTAGGCAAGTCACACACATCTGCTTAAGAGAAAGCTCTCTGGAAATTCCATGTCCTTCCATTCCCTCTCAGCCCAGGAAGAAAACCATGGGACTCAAGGGCTGGGGCTTCACTGGGATGGGGCAGAAGCTTAATTTTCACAGGGTCTTCAATGAGAAGAGTCACATTCACATACATCATCACATGCAATGGCTGGCTGCAATATGAAGCAGGCTTTTCCCACTCATTGAATGCTGCTTCTGTCTGGGAAGGGACTGGGTCACTGTCCTTCTGGCCCAGTACAATATTGTAGAAGGATGGCCTCCGTGTGATGGCACTCTAACAGGAGGGTGTAGGGAGAACGCTTGGGGATGATGATGATGGCCAAGACATCAGGAAAGTGAACGACAGCAGAGGAGACCCCCATCCTGATGAAGGAGGAGCTCAAAAACCTAGGTCCTGCTGAATCACCAGAACAGACACACAACGTACAGCACACAGCCACAGACAGTACACAGCACAGAAGTCACAAGAATGGGAGATCAGAGACTCTAAGAGGCATAGTTTGGACTTGGGACAAGTCTCTATCTAAACCTGCTTATTTACTTATAAAATGGAATGATAGTTCCCGACCTCCTTCCCACCTAGGCCATTTGGGAAAATAAGTGAAGTAAGGTATATCAAAGTGCTTAAAATCTGTGAAGTCGTGCCCCTGTGACATGTCCTTAGAAAGGCAGAGGTCACCAGAACCCTGCCAACTTGAACCTCTCCTACCATTTCCACGGTCAGAGATGCTGAGGTGATATTTCAGGTTTTCTCGCAGGCAGTCATTGATGAAAAGGGTTTCCTTCAGGTGCTGCTGCAACTTCCACATCTCATCTTTTGCAGCCATTCCACCAAGACATGAAATGAGGTAAGAGATAAGGAATCTTTGTCATTTCACTTATCATGATAGTCTCCAATTATTTGCAAAATAATGTCATAAAGTCATTATTATTTATGGCTGAGTAATACTCCATTGTGTATCTATACCACAATTTCTTTATCCATTCATCTGTTGAATAGCATCTAGGTTGGCCCCACACCTTAGCTATTGTGGATTGAGCTGGTGTAAATATTGATGTGGCTACATGTAGTATGCTGATTTTAAATCTTTTGGATATAAACCAAGGAGTGGGATAGTTGGGTCTAATGGTGGTTCCAATCCTAGTTTTTTGAGAAATCTCCAGTAAGGGGGGTGGGTGGAGGAGAAGAACAGACATTCAGTAGATTAGACAAAGGGGAAGGAAGGAAGGGAGAGGAACAGGAAAAGGAAAGACAATGGAATGAATCCAAAATAATCTTTCTAGGGGCTTATACAAAACAATATAGTGAATCCCACCATCCCTAAGAATGGGGCCCTAACTAGAACAAGACATATCTCATGCTGGTACAATTATATCAAAATGAATTCTACTGTCATGTGTAACTAAAAAGAACCAACTAAGAAAACTAAAGAGTCTTCATCATCAGTGTGGTTGCAAGGGTCTCTCCTCAAGGTCCGGCCTTTTACCATTCTTCTGCCAATCTCACCTTTTCATCCAGGAACACCAAGCAACTTCCAGAGCCCTTAGGGTTTCAAACAAAGCCTAGTCAAGTGCTAAGCGGACTCCACAGAATTTAAGAAGTGTAAGGGAGATTGACAGGAGGTGGGAGAACACCGAAGGCCTCCCAATAGGGCCATCTAGCACCGGGAAAGGTGTGGCCACCTTCTTGGTGTGACTAACCCTAGGTACCAATGTAGGGCAGTGAGGCTGGACACCGAGGAATTTCAGGAAGCAGGTTTATTTAAGCTGCAGTGGTCCTGAGGGGATAATGCCTAAAAATCTCTGGACCCTGAGTCTGGGAATTCTTTTAGATTTATACTCGGGGGTGGGGGGGTGGTTACATGACAGCTGGAGTGGATGGGAACAGAACAGTTACTCTTTGTCCCATATTCTTAGGCAAGACAGGGGTTTCACACATTTTGTCTGCAAACCTGGTATTTATAAGAAAGAGGAAGTTCCAAACCACACAGAGCTTTCTACAGAACTCCTGTGAAATCCTAAGACACTCTTTATAAAAATCTCTCTGACAAGAGAAGAGTAGTTATGGCCAGAGTCTTTTGCTTCAGGACTAGGGAATGTTTTTCTCTCTACCACATCCCTTTAACAAATGATGAAGGGACCTGGCATGAAGATGCCTTTGAAGGGGAAGATCTGAGTAATCAAAAGCACATACTTACATCCACTACTAACCCAAAGAGGTTGAAACACAAACCTGATATTGTTTACTTCACTATTAAAAACTCAGTTAACAGTGAATGAATCAATATGGTCTATTTTCTGGCCTAGAAGAAGATATAAGGCATGTAGTCTCCTAGCAATCCAGACTTTTATCCCCAAAGAAAAGTCAAACAAGTGAGGGAGACTGAGGTTTTAATCCATACACACTCAGTGAAGCTGCAGCCCAGGGCCTCTTGTCTGGAAGAGCTTGAGGTCACTGGGAAAGAGACATGCTGGGGGGGGGGGGGCATTGCTGTTAAATCCAGCCTTTCCTTCAGCATAGATGGATGAGCTTATAGCACTGAGACCAAATCCACAAAGATTTTAAAAAACAGACAAAAAACCTGGGTGCTACACACAGATGGGAACTCTGGCCATGTACCAAAGGGTTGCCAAAATCAGTCTTGTCTTTAGGGAAATCACCTGATATTCTGATCCTCAGACAGAAACTTACGTGGAAAAAATAACCCAAGGGGAGAAAGAAACTGAGACTGAAGCCAAGGAACCATACTTTGGCAATATAGGCAAGATTTCCCACATTCTTGAATAGTTAGAAGAACTTATCAAGAACATTTCAGGAAAGACAAGCTGTCCCACCTTAAAGAAGGAGGTCTGTTAGATCCTGGGCATGTGGTGCAGTGGTAGCACACTTTACATGTGACATTGGGGCCAGAGTAACTGGGATGAGGCATGGACCCAAAACAAAACAAATTATCTGACTTGACACTTGTGTTCAGCCCAATCACCTTTTCAAGGTGATTTTTTTTCCTTAAAGAGATAGGATCCTACTATGTTGTCCAGGATGGCCCTAAACACTTGGGCTCAAGTAATCCTCTTGCCCACCTCCCAAGAAGCGGAGACTAGAGGCACATAGCTCTGTACCCAGCTCAAGGAGAATCTTTAGAGCTCACTGCAGAGTTGATCTCAGTCTAGGTAGAATTGGTGAGCATGAAGAATATAAAAGCGATGGAAAGTTTGATGGACTCTTATTTTCTTTTTAAGAGGAATACTCACGGGCTCTGCCCATAGCAGAGGTGGCTTCTTGCATATTAGACAAGATCACATTGCTGCTAGAAGGCTGTTGACAGTCACAGTGGCTAGAAGGAGTCAAGTACTGTTCATCTAGTGAGTCTTCCAGGACTTCATTTGCTTCCTCTTCTGGGACCTCCCTGCTGAACCTGGTGGGGTACATAGGACAAGAGATTAAATCAAGGCAGCCTAGAACCATAGCTTAATAATTAGTCCTGATCCAAAATTCATGGAAGAGGCTTTGAAAACCAAAGAGGCCATCCTATCAAAGAGGAAGTGCAACAATCCATTTGTGCTTGGGACATAGTATACTTGGAATTCGGGTTCTCTTAACAAATAGATGAGGAAATAGACAATTATGCTAATGCCACTTAAGCCACAGTGAGATTTATGATATTGGATTCACAAGGCTGTATACGAGTTTGACTTCATATTATATGAAGTGCTTCATTGAATATTGAATCCTGAGACAATAACAATCCCACGACTCTTGTAGCTTTTAGACCTCTCTCTTGAATGGTTCAGATTTATTTTTCAAGGTAATTTTCTGCCTGTGAAACATCTGCCAACATACTTTCTGACTATGTGCAGAAAGCAGGAAGGTGTCTCATTTTGTCTGAGTTTTGTTGTTGTTATTGCTTGTGTCTTTCTTTGTTTGGTGGTGCTAATGTTGGGTTCAAACACAGGGCCTTGCACATGTGAGGTAAGTGCTCTACCACAGAGCTACATTCTCAGTCCCTCACTTTGGTTTTTAACGACACAGGCTTTTAAAATACAGAAACCAGGGATTCCTGCTCAAATTACCTTTTGGTCAGACTGACTAGTTACCCAAACTTGAGGGAGGAACCTACGGGGACCAGGGTTGTGACTCACTGATAGAGTGCTTGCCTCACATGCATGAGGCACTGGGTTCAATGCCTGGCACCACATTAAATAAATAAATAAATAAATAAATAAAATAAAGATATCGTGTTCAAAACTAGAACTAAAAAAATTTAAAAAAGAACCTACAGGAACTGAGCATAACACATTCCCCAGACAGCTGCAAGCCATCTTTGGAGGGCGTGGGGCTAAGAAATGGGAGACAACTCAAGAGCTAGAAACAAAACAGACAACCATGTTTATTTTATTTATATCTGTTTGTTTGTAAATTCGTTTGTTTGTTTGTTTTCTACGGTACCAGGGATTGAACCCAGGGGCACTTAATCATTTAGCTACATGTCCAGTAATTTTTATTTTTCATTTAGCGACAGGGTCTCACTAAGTTGCTTAGGGACTCACTAAGTTGCTGAGACTGGCTTTGAACTTGTGATCCTCCTATCTCACTTCCAGAGTCACTGGAATTACAGGTGTGTGCCATTGTGTCAGACAGACAACCATGTTTGAAAAGGATCCATCACTGTAAAGTGATTAAATGAAACAGGTATAATAAGCAGTTTCTGGTTTTTGCCTGAATTTGAGACATTTGACCTCTTAATCCCCTGCTTCTGGAATCCTCTCTAGATGGCACCATTCCATCATCAGCCTTCATCATTCAGTTACCTGAGAGCCAGTAGCCTTTGTCTGTCTTCATCCTTCTTATTATGATTTTCTGCAAAAAAAAACAAACCAAAAAACAGAAGAGCTAGTCATAAGTTAAATAGGTCGCATTTCACACACTGGAAACATGAGGTCTGTGTGATCAGAGACATAACATGCTATATGTTTGTTGAGAGCACTCAGAAAATCATTCCAGGAAGCCTCAGGTTGTATCTTTTGAGCAGTAGCCTGGCAGACTTCTCTGAGCAGGGGTGCTCCTGGCAGGATAAACTATCATTAGGACATTCACAAAAAGTTAAAAATGTGATTTTTTCACCAGCTTACAGGATACTTGCCCAGCTCTTGAACTTCTCCAGCCATGACCTTTATTCTCTGCACAAGGCTGGTTGCTAGACCATGGTTGTGAGTACCATTACTGCCATCATAAAGAACCTAGCCCACTCTCAGAGGAGAGGTCAAATGACCCTGTTCTACCTCCACTCCAAAATCAGGGGACTCTCCAGGTTCAGCCTGTCTCTGCTATGCTTCTGATGTTTTCATGGGTGATTCAACCAAAACCCCTATATCCAATCAGAATATCTTTCAGAAATAAAGATGAATTCTTTTCACACTCATCAAGATGAAGTAAACCAGCTACCTCTTACTGATTAAAGACTAAGGACTCAAGAAAGAATGTCATGCAGGGCACAGCCGCCCACGCCTGTAGTCCCAGCAGCTCAGGAGGCTGAGGCAGGAGGATGGCGAGTTCAAAGCCAGCCTCAGCAATGGCAAGGCCCTAAGCAATTCAGTGAGACCCCATCTCTAAATAAAATACAAAATAGGGCTGGGGATGTGGCTCAGTGGTTGAGTGCCCCTGAGTTCAATTCCCAGAACAAAAAAAAAAAAGAAAGAAAGAAAACAAAAAAGAACACTACAAGTGTTTACCTGGGTTCTCTAAAAAGGAAATAATAGCATGTAGGTTAAAGATCATACTCAAAACTAAAATAATCTACATTGGGAAAAACTTTGCATTCTCTCCTGCCCCTTTGGGGGTCTGGGAGGAACTCATCTTCAGAGCCTGTAGCCAGGTTACCAGTGATGGGCCTGCGGCAAGGTTCTCTGGCAGCTTGCTTCCTTGGGTCAGTTGCTCACAGAGTCTTTGTCCATCATAGCTGGTGACGCCGGTGCTCCCGAGGACACTCTCAAAAGATCTGACTGCATTTTTCACGTGCTGAGCAAAAAGATAGCAGACGCCTCTCCCTTCCTGTATTTTCTGCCGTAAATAGGTCAGTTCTTGGGCCTGAGCCTGAAATAGGCGATCAGATTTCCTAAGGTGGAAAAAAAGAGTGAACTGTAGGAGTGAACGTCGTGAATGGTAGTTACAGGAGCAGAGATGACTCTGAGGATGCCCCCAGGAACTTGCCAAACTGAATTCCTGTGCAAGCTGTCTGACTTGCCTGAGGCAAATGGAACAAAGAAGCATCCTTGGGTTTGTGGAGTTTTACTAACTTGGTTTTTTTAAAATGCCTCTTTAGGAGGGCTGGGGTTGTGGCTCAGTGGTAGAGCACTTGCCTAGCATGTGAGGCACTGAGTTTGATTCTCAACACTGCATATAAATAAATGAATAAAATAAAGGTCCATCAACATCTAAAATCCCCTTTAGTTCCTCACTTCAACCCAAGTCCATTTCCTTATAATATACGCCGAGCATTAGGCAGTGAGTGACCAAATAAGCCAGGGATAGAAATGTTGGACAAGTATATCTGGAGTTAATTGAAAGATGAAAAGAAAAATCAGTGTAGAGGTCAAGAAGGACAGCATTCTTTTGAAGGACCTGAAGATAAATATAATCAGGAGTAAATAAAGTTCTCACTCTATGGGAGATTTTGTTTTTTAATTATTATATACATATTTCTTATGGGTTCCAATGTAGAATGTGAGCTCTGTGAAGCTACAGTGACACATCTTACCCAACTTACAGCCCCCAGTAAGTAGCATTTACACATATAAGTAGTTGTTCAGTTAATGCTTAGACTCGTGTAATCATAAAACTGGATTAACATTTACAGTCACCTGGCCAATCTGACGCCTGAATCTCCTCCAAACTTTCCTACCAAGTACAGATTGTTGTCCAAAGTATTCGCTTTGCTTTGTTAGGGGAAGTGACCTATGCCTGCTTTGATCAAAGATCTCTATGTTAGTAGGTTTTACACATTTAAACTTCTAGGATTTCATTTTAACAAAAGGTCAACAGAAATTTTGGAACATCACAATCTATCCTATGTTTGAAATCTTCCAAGGAGGGGCAGTGCTGGTCTGGAGCCAATTAATAATGCCTTTTCCAGATAACAACCAGTCAGTTCTCTGTCCAGTAGTCCTAACAGTTAATACTCTGATACTTAAAATTAAAGTGGGAAGGAGAAACACTTTTGCATGGAAAGTCACTTCGGAAAGCTTGAAAACATCTCTCATAGAAAAAGCCCATTGGCCGGGTGCTGTGGTGCGTGCCTATAATCTCAATGGCTCAGAAGGCTAAGGCAGGAAGACTGCAAGTTCAAAGTCAACCTCAGCAACTTAGTAAGGCCCTAAGCAATTTAGTGTGACCCTATCTCAAAATAAAAAATAAAAAAGGGGTCAGGGTTGTGGCTCAGTGGCAGAGCACTTGCCTAGCATGTGTGAGGCACTGGGTTCAATCTCTGGCACCACATAAAAATAAATAAATAAATAAAAGTATTGTGTCCATCTACAACTAAAAAGAAAAAAAATTTAAAAATGGATGGGGATGTGGCTCAGGGGTTGAGCACCCCTGGGTTCAACCCCTGGTACTAAAAAGAAAAAAGAAAAAGTTCATTAATGACAAATCCACACCTATAAAAATAGAGCAAGTATAATGATTATAGTAGAACCATGTGTCAGAGATGGTTCTATTCAGTATTTAATCTTTACAACCCTCTGAGTTAGATCCTCAATATTTTCGCTTTGCAGATGAGCTAGCTGAGGGAACTGACCTGCAGGAAAATTAGGTAAATTTGCTCAAGGACACAAAGCTAGAAGCCAATACTTATCACTCCAACCCTGGCCTCTGTCTCCATTTGATTCATATGTTATTAATGGAGAACCCTGGAGACCTCAGTAGACAGCAGCCCCATTGATTGTCTTTGTCTAGTTCTGTGCCTATCCTATGCATTTCTGCCCTTCTGCTTGCACAAATTCACTTTTTATTCTACCAGCCCGGGCAGCTGTATTCATGATCTTCATACAGGTACCTCCTTACCCAAGACTTGCACCTCGTCTCAACTCCTCTGCCACACCGCCCTCTTCAGACTGCAGCTCCTCCTCCAGCACAGACTTAATGAGTTCTTGGTACTCCTCACACTCTGGGAAGACAGACAAGCTTGACTCAGTGGGAACCGAACATACTGCTGTGGTCACTGCCTCCAGGGGAGAAGGCAAGGTCCACTGTCAGAACAAAAGTAACCCCTGCACCCAGCTCTACAGAGATTTTCACATCTTTACTCTTCAATCTTCAACTATACTCCTTATTTTAGAGGTAAGGGAAGAAGTTCATGGGCAGATAAAATTACCTGGCAAGGTGATTCAATTGGTATTTGGCAGAGTCAGAATTCACATTTCCTGAGGTCTGACCATGATTACCAAACCTTTGGCCTCTTACACTAAGCTGGGGCATGAAATAGTGATTTCCTGTGTATTTGGGAAGACACCAAGAACTGCAAGACTAATGATCCCAAAGTATTTCAAAGATTTAAAAATGTATCTGGGTTGGAGTTGTGGCTCAGTGGTAAAGTGCTTGCCTAGCATGTATCGATACGTTATTTATTATTAATAAAAGTCCACATTTACACTAGGTTTTGTTCTTGGTATTATAAAACAAGTGAGATTCAAAACCAGAAAGCATTATTACACAAGAGTACCTGTTCTTTGAAGGTTTCTTGCTTGTTTTTGCTGAAACAGGGTCCCAGTATGTTGCCCAGGTGGTCGTCTCAAGCTCCTGTTTCCCACTGCAGCTGTACCATAAGCATCAGGCGCACCACACCGAGCACATGCTTTTAATCACTGCTTTACGTTAATTTGATATAAAGTCCTAAGTAATGTGTTTCTTCTTCAGCTTCAAAAATGTGTGTCTTGAAGTTGTGTTATGGTTGTGACAAATGACGTTTAAAACAACAACAACAGCAACTCAGTATTTCCACAATCCGGAGCTCATCTTTTTACTTCTTTAACAAGTGGGCTTTAAGTTTTACTTGTGTGTCTACGACAATAAGTTGGATAGTTTTTTTTTGGTCCTGGAGATTGAACCCAGGCATGCTTAACCACTGAGCCACATCCCCAGCCCTTCTTTATCTTTAATTTTGAAACAGGGTTTCACTAAGTTGCTTACGGCCTTGCTAAATGGCTGAGACTGGCCTTGAACTTGTGGTCTTCCAGCCTCAGACTCCAGAGTCACTGTGATTACAGGCAGGTGCCACTGTGCCTGACTAGTTAGCAAAATTTACCCCTCCTCCTTGATTTATTGAAAAAAATCACAGAAATTTGAAGGCAAAATCCATTTCAAAGTTTGCAGGATCCTCTTCTGATATCTGAATTCCACTCAGGCCCATTTTCCCATGTGGTTCTCCATCAATGCAGTTTCCCTTCTTCCTCCTCATTGTCAATAGACAGGGGGTTTCCACTGGACTTCCATATGTGACAGCTGGCTGGGGACTCTGTACTGGACTCGTCTGGGACTGAGACTGGTGGTCTCCACTTGGTCTTATTCTCATTTTGGCCAAGTGTCTCATACATAATCCGGAACCTAGAGGTCCACCTGGACTTGCTTTTTGTCTCCAAAGTTCATATTCACTCAGGAAGAGATAGAAAGAATGTGATGAATGTCTTCCTGGAGCTTAGGTGGGAACGGAATCTTGTTAAGGCATCAAGACTTCCCTATTTGTCTGCTATTAATATTCTCATCTGTGAACATCTGTGAGTCAGTTGGGAACTGACAGCTTTCAGCTCCTTTAAGGCAGTTAGGATACACTATTACTTCTTTCTCCCCAGCATAATGCCTTACAAATAGGTGTTCAGAAACAGCTTGAACTGAATCCTGAGATTTCAGCCAAAAGTGGTGACACATGTTTCTGAGAAAAAACAATTTAGCACCTTTAACAAGATTTTAGTCTCTATTTCTCCCTACTCTCTTCCTACAAACTTTATTTCTTTGTTTTTCAGTTCTTTCAACCTCTGCAAATTGAGGGCAAAAACCCACTTCTACCTTCCTAGGAGCACAGCCAGGATGAAATTTATTTTGATGAAGGATAGAAAAGAAAAAAGTTTTGTGGGAAGCCGTTCTCACACATGATTGAGCTACTTCCCTGGCTGGGTGTGAGGTGCTCAGACCAGCTGTGTCTTTCCCCACCCTTCCCAGATGTAAGGGCCTGTCCTTGTGGGGGTAAGACTGACCACTGACCTGAAAACCAATCACTGACCCTGACCTTGGAATGCTGTCCCCCTCAACCTTCATTGGATGGAATTTCCCCTGAATTTTTTGTTCCCCAATAAAAGCTCACTCTCTGGTGTGCTTCCTCCTCTCTCCTGCTGGTCTCTTGTGTAAACCTCACTGACCTTCAGGTGGCTAGAGGCAGGAGCTAGGAGGAGCCGCCTCTGAGCTGGGCAAGAAAAAGGTAATTTGAGAGTTATGTGTCTTTAATTTGATCTCACTAGTTAGTTTATGGCAGAAGTGGTGCCCAAGAGGGGACATATTAGATTAACTAGGTTGGGTGTGAGCGCGCTATAGAAATAAGGAATTGGTGACATTTAGGGGTCACAAAAGTATCAGGAGGTACTGAAGCGACGAGACGTTAAATTATTAATAATGGGAAATTCGACTTCTACTGATAAGGACATGTACTTGACTATTTTAGAAACGATAATTAATCAGAAAGGAAGGCAAATAAAAAAGACTCAGTTGTTACAATTCTTAAAGGTTGTAGGTGAATTTTGCCCTTGGTTTTGTGACCAAGATTCGCCAAATTTACATACTTGGGACAAATTAGGAAGGAAATTACATAAAATCTGCCTTTCTAATGAATTACCTGGAAATTTTGATAACATTCAAAGAGTATGGACTGCTTTAGAAATTTGTCTTTTTGATTACATGGGCCATAGTCCATGGCCCCCTGAATATCTGTTGAAGGGTATTCAGAGAGCCATTAAGTCTATTCAAATGGAAAACCTGTCTGAGGCTAAGGTAATCTCCCTTCCCTTAAGCCCGATGAAGACAAAAGCTCTCGGGGCTAAACCGAAAGTGAGAAATGTAAGCTTGCCTGAAGTGAGTCAGGGTAACTTGGAGGAAGATCATAGAGACAAAGATCATAGAAAGGAAGCCTCCGGAGGTATAGATAGTTCTCTTCCCGGAGGGATAGAAAGTAATGCTCCTGGAGAGGAAAATCCAGAAGAAATTCCTAGAGAGGAATTACAAGCCCAATTTCAAAATGGCGACAGTGAAAATTCAGCTGAGGAGTCGCAGTCTGAGGGAGAGGAATCAGACATTGAAATCCAGGACTTGCGGGGACATTTTAACAGGCTGCGTTTAACACCGCCTGCCCAGGCTATTAGAATTCGGCCATTGTCTGCTAAAAGGACAAAATTTAACAGGTACTCTGAATTAACATCGACTTTTCTTACCCCGTTCCAGCGAGGTATTAAGAAGGCACAGGAAGCGGGGGAGGACATTAGCGAATTTCAACTTTTCCCAGGTTTTGAGCAGATTGATGAACAGGATCAGCGGGTTCGCGTCCACGCGGTAATTCGTTTTAAGACTATCAAGGAATTAAAGAGCGCTTGTGAGGTTTACGGTCCAAATTCACCTTTTGTGCAAAATTTGCTGGAGACTATTGCTTCACAACCGCTCCCACCGAGTGACTGGGTTTCGTTAGCTAGAGCTTGCCTGAGTGGCGGGGATTTCTTGCTTTGGAAGTCCTACTGGTCTGATTTTTGTGCTAAACAAGCAGAAAGGAATAGGAGACAGAATCTCCAGACACCAGTGGAAATGCTTTTAGGAACGGGGGAATTTACCGATTTGAAAAGACAGTTAAATTATGAATTTGCGGTATATGATCAGATAACTGCTTGTGCCAAACGTGCCTGGAAACAGATAGTTTCCAAAGACCAATCTAATTTAGTTCTAACTAAGGTTAGACAAGGTGCTAGTGAACCTTATTCTGATTTTGTAGCAAGACTGTATCAGACAGCCAACCGTTCCATAAGAGACCCAGGCGCTTGTGAATTCATTGTTAAACAATTGGCATTTAAAAATGCAAATAAATATTGTCAGGATGTTCTCAGACCCCATAGGAAAAAAGGGACAGTTTCTGAGTTTATCCGTTTGTGTTCTGAGATCGATTCAACTCATCTACAAATAGTAATGTTAGCTGCTGCATTAAAACAAACTTTGCAGCCACAGGAATTGGCCCGAAAACCCCGCGGGAGGTGCTATCTCTGCGGGAAACGTGGTCATTTCGCGCGAGAATGCCATACTCGTAATTTTAAGTCCAGGGCTCCCTCTGCTGTTGATAGTAAATATTACAGGGCTCAGCCCCACGTGGTGGATCCAGATGGCGCTGATCAGCCCGCCTTCTTGTCCTCATTTCCTCCTGGCAGGAAAAAAAATAAAACTTCCAATCAGCCCTTCCCTTGCCCTTCCCCGGTCCCACCAAAGAAATGGGGAATTGGAGGAGGGGTCGCACAATTTGACGTCACTGGCAATGACCATGGCAGGCTGCCATTTCTACCGGAATATAAATCACAGATAGTTTCCTTACGACCCTCAATGACAATTGAATTAAATCCTGAATCAGGGCCAAAACAAATCCCTACTGGGATTTTCGGGCCACTCCCTGAAAAAAGTATAGGTTTAATTTTGGGACGTAATAATTTAAAAGAGGCCATCGAGGTAATACCTGGAGTAATAGATTCTAATTTTAAAGGACAATTAAATGTTGCTCTAAGGTCCAATTATGCCCTACAGCTTACTCCAAAAGATACATTTGCCCAATTAATTTTATTACCCTGTGATTCAGATGAACACCCTCAAGTAAATTCAGTTTCCAAACCGCCAGACAGAATGTACTGGTCTCAATTAGTGCGACAGGAGAGCCCTTTACTGGAACTTAAAATTAATTATAAAAAAATCAAAGGAATTCTAGATACTGGGACAGATATTTCTATTTTTTCTAGTAAATTCTGGCCTAGGAATTGGCCCTTACATGTAGCACCAGCTAACCTAGAGGGAATTGGACAAATTTCACAGCCTGCTCAAAGTGCAAATTATCTCCGTTGGGAGGATTCTGATGGGAACAGTGGAGTTTTTAAACCTTAT